GTAAGCAAGATTAATGGTCACTTTCCTCCTTTTCGCTTACGATGGTGCAGCTTTTTAACTCCTCATTGAGTTGACACAGCAAATAATATTCATAATAATCCTTGCATTTGATCTAGCATCTTATCACGTCTTCGAGACGTTTCAAAGCACTTTACAGAATATATTGGAAAAATACTGAACTGACTGTAATGTTTCTGGGCGAAACTCAGCAGCCAATTGCACACAGCAGTGTCCCACATACAGTTGTGGATTGAGTGACCACTTTTTTCCATTATTTTATTTTTGAAGGGATTATTATCCCCAGAAAAGTGATCTGCCAATGGATTAGCAACCGGGTTCTCACTGACTGCTAGCTAAACAGAGGTGTGTGGAGTAAAGAAACTGTCCTAAGGTTTCACCCTGACCAGGAATCGAACCCAGATCCTCTCACTTATGAGGCAAGTGCTCTATCCAATACATTACAAGACTCCACAAAGACAGTACATCTCCCATATTGATCCTGCGATTGAAAGCAGAGAAGTTCTCGAGGCACCGAGATGATCGGAAGTAGGAACAAGGAGAAGAGCAGGAGAGCCTCTGCACATCTATATAGAGAGCACAACACAGCAAAGGTTTTTGTGCAGATTCAGTCATTAAATTATTAACAAGGACTTATTCAGCACTCTGCCAGTGTTCCCTTCTTCAGCAAAGAGGATAGATGGGCAGGAAATCAGTGGACACAAAAGAAATCAAGCTAGTCACAGGCGCTTGTCAAATCTCAGTCGACTCCCTATTACAGCAGAGTCTGCTGAAGGTCAGTTTGAGTGCAAACTGAGAAGCATACGTTCAATATTAACAGCTAGAGGTTAAATTAATTCCCCCTTCTCCCTACAAAGCAGATGCCCCTCAAAACAAAAGCAGTTCCTGAGGAGTCAGTTGACTTCTTCAAAACTTAAATAGTGCCATGGGATCTTTAACACCCACCTTACCATTCAACGTAAGGTCTCATCTAAAAGATGGCACCTCTGACAATGCAGCACTTTCCTAGCCCTGCATTCGACTGCCAGTCAGGAATGGTGATAAGCTTGAGTCTTAATATGGGACATGAACCCCCCAACATTCTGACCAAGAGGCGTGAGTGCTAATAACTTTGCTCGGCTGAGACCTATCTCTGAGTTTTTAAATTTCCTGTTTTTAATATCCAATTTTGAGCTTTTTCCCCATGATAGATTATGGTTATAATTATTATTATATCATGGATCATTTCCCGATGTTAATAAACCCTTAAAAAAAAACTCAATCCACCACTGTTTGTGCGACACTGCTGTGTTTCGGCCATAAAATATCCAATCAGTTCACTTCACAGTGTATTCCATAAAGCGTTTTGAGACGTCTCAATGACATGTGCGATAAGGCGCTATATCAAATGCAAGGATTATTATTATTATTCCTGATCCAACCACCAGCTCGAGCACGAGTCCTTCTGAAGCGAAAGGCACTGTACAAATGTAATTTGTTGTTGTTGTTGTTGATATTCTTACTTAGATGCTCAAAGCGCTGGATTGAGGAAGAGAGGTGTTTCTAACCATTATGTACGACCCCCTGATTTGCACAGAGCACAAAACAGAACAGGATCATCGCATACAGGAAACACACCACTGCTCGCTTGCACTGATGAAATCTAATAGTTTGCAACTCGTGATCTTCATTATGTTAATACTGTGCTTAAGCCTTTTTGAAAAGGTCAAATAGGACCAAGGAGAGAGACAGAGAGAGATTGTTGTACAAAATTAATTTGCAAGTAAAAAGAAGCTCTAATATTAGCTTCACATTGAGAAGGTTGGATGGCAACTGGTCTATTTTTAGTGTGCAGAGCACAGCAGATGTACAAGCCTTATCCATTGCGCAAGTAAATATTGCCAATAAAATGTTGCAGATCTTCAGTAAAATGATACGTGCAGGATGTGAAGAAAGCACACAGGTTCCTGTTGACTTAGATCAGTCCGTCTGCATTCAGAGAACCCCCTCCCCCCCCACACACACCATAAAAGAGGCTAAAAAGTATAGTTGTACCAATTACTGGAGATATTGAGGGTATCTCAGCCTTAATAAGACCAGAGTTGAGTTCCAGACTACAGAGATCTTAACCATTATTTCTTTCACCTTGACTTAACATTTGAATGTGAAGAGGTAGAAACTAGGTATAACTGAAATTGGATCGATTGGATATTGGAGTGATTAAATAATGAAAGGAACTTGAATTTTTGTAGCTCGTCCAATGTAAAAATAACTCCAAAGCACTTTTTAGTAGTTACTGTCAAGTATATAGCAACTGTATTTGTAGGAAAATGTGGCAGCCATTTTGCTCACAGCAAAGTCCAACAAACAGTCAGGAGGTGAATAACCAATTGATTTAAAGGATTATTAGTCAGGGCACAAAGACAAACTTCCTTTTCTTAGCCGATAGCGTCATGGAATTTTTAATGTCCACTTGAAAAGCCAGCAGACCGACCCTTGGTTTAACAACTCATCTGAAGGACAGCAGCTCCGAAAGGATGGTCGATGCTGAAACAGTCTAATTTAGCGTTCATTGACAGAAAATGTGTATGGGATGAGTGACCCCAGCGAAGACCATCACCAGAAACTCACAAGGTGAAAATGCCTCAGCTGAGGTTGGGCTGGTTCCCTGGTTAGTGGATGCAGAAGCTCAGAAGACTCAGAAAGACAGCATACTATAATTTGCAGTGTTTTCGGCATTGCAAGTCCTCTCTAATACTGTATTCAGAAGCCATACAGAAAGGATGTTCTTGGAAGAGGGTTCATTAAAGAGAATGTAAACATTGTTTCTCTAGTAGTGCTTGTTTTTAATCAAAGCTTTGTCGGAGTGTTTTTGTGGGGATTGCCTTTCAGCAAGGGAGCTTTCTATGGTTCTTGTATGAATTTACATTCATTATTTTGTATAAATAATGCATGTTATATGAGAGACTGCAGTAAATTAGTGTTCCAGCAAGGGTCACGTTAGAGGGAAGCGGCTCTCAATCTTTCCCCATAAGAGAAAGTGTTTGAGAAAGACATAAATAATGGGTGTTATATCAGAGATCTTCGTATGTCAGGACGCATTGTTATGAAATTTCTGCAAGAGAAAAGGTGCTTCTAGCTGAAAGATGGTCATAAATAATGCACATTATATCAGCAGTCATAGTACCTCAGAGTGGGATAGTGTTTTATAAAAATTCTGTTTTATAGGGCATGTCTATATGAGCGAGATTGGTACATCAAATGTCACTGTCCTTCATAGAGGGTTATAACACAGGGCTGTGTTACAAGCAACACTCTTCATGTCGGTTTTATTTGGAGTTACGAGGCTGATTCTCCACTGGTGGGTTAACCCTAGTGCTGTGCGCTTTTAATGAGGATTTCCAAGCTGTTTGTGCGATATTGCTGTGCACAAATAGGCTGCCACGTTTCACCTACAATATAGACACTGCACTTTACAGTGTATCCTATGAAGGGAGCTTTGAGATGTCCTTCCAATGTGAAAGGCACTATACAATTGTAATTTGTTGTTGTTGCAAGAGCTAAGGAGAACCAGCTCCCAAATTGCGTCTAAGAATTTGTCAAAATTCTGACTGATATGACATTTTAAGACAATCACAAGGCTAAAACCAGGTGAAATTTCAGCCCTCTGGGACACAATTGTTGTTGGAGAAGAGGCAGCAGGTCAAGTTTAGTTAATGGAAATTGGCAAGGCAGAGAAATCAGAGCAAAAGCCCATCAAGGCACAAGAAAGGAATATTGAAGAAAAGATGCAAAGAAAACATTTGAAAGATTAGATTCTGCTTTTGAATTGTTTATGTGTTGCTATTAAATAGTCCTTTTGTCTGTAAATTTGTCTTGATGGATTGGTAACCCTGATACATCCGCATAGGCACGATAATGTGTAAAACCTGCCTGGGGCACCATAGGCTTTCAATGAAATGTGTGATTGCCCCACATACATCCTAGCTCCTCATTATTACAGGAACATTGTTCAGATCACATCAGCGTGATCGAAATTTGAGGAGGCTGGGAACGGGAATAACATACAGGACCAAGCCTTATAGTATAATAATTCTCACATTTTGATAGAGCGCCCTATCACGTCATTGAGACATCTCAAAGGGCTTCACAGAACATATTGTAAAGTGGATTGACTATGTGTTTGTGGGTGAAACGCGGCAGCCAAATTGCACAGTGGTGTCCCAGAAACAGTTGTGGATTGAGTGATCCATTTTTTCTGGGGTACTACACCAGAATTACCTCAAAAAGCCAATTGTCCCAAACTGAGCTGTACAGACAAGAAGGTCTTGGAATCTGATTTCCAGATTGTGGTGAGTTAGTTTATTTCTGCCAGAGTAGCTGTAGCCTAGGGCCACTGTTTTGGCCTGGGTCATTAAAAAAAATCAGCCTAGTTCTCTGCTTCTAATCACAATCCACTTTATCCTCTTATGAACCACTGTAAAGAATGCCTGAGTGGACATCAAGTGAGGGAAGGACTTGGCTCAGTTGTCATGCTACTGTAAGACACTGGTATGTGGTGCTTAGGTTGTGAGAATGAAGGGGCGCCTCTGGGATTTGAGGCTGAGCTACGCGTTTAAGGCAGTGCGCAAAGTGGAGAAGAAGTTCCAAGCAGCACCTTTGCTGGGTTCTTTCCTGAACTCCAGCACTATTTGTGGCTCTTTGATAAGTGAAGAGAAGGAAATGTTCAAATCTGTAAAAATAAATGCCGACGGAACTTATTTATTCCTCCACAGACAGAAGCCGCTGAGCTACAGCATGTGCACGCGGAGGAAAACATTTTCCTGTGGCCAATTGTTTCAATCAAGCGGACATTGTGAAGCCAGTCGGGAATGGTTTAGAGCCTGGGAGAATGTTTGCCTTCATGTGAATGTGTTTAGGCTGCACATTACCTTTTGTGTTCACGTGACATGGCAATTTTATAACTGTCTCCTGAGATTGACCATGAACCTTTTACCTTTCAGAAACTGGAAGAGAGAGGATACAGACCTTCTGCTGTTAGTCTGGATCCACAACTCAAGGGCCTCATGTAACAGGGACGACGTACAGCATCCACTGTTCTAATGTAAGTGTTTCTCTGGGCTTTGAGGGGTGGGTTGCAAATACCAAGTTGCTTTACATAAGCTATATGTCTGATACAAGGCTCCCACTCACTCCTACAGACGTTATTCTTCGAAACACACACATATGCACAGGTATACAAGCAACAGTCAGTCCCATGTACTGTACATATATATGGATAAATGTACATGGAAATATTCTGCACCCCCCACCCCAGACACACACCAAAAACTCATACCAGTCACATAAAAACATATCAGAGTTTACTGGGAAAAAGTAAACCAAGGTCCTTCCAATTTGCCTTCCACCATCCTGGCAGTCACATGTCATGTCCCAACTATATATTGCATCCCGAGACATTATTTCCTACGTGCATCTATACTGTGTCAAACATGCATACGTTATCCCTCAAACCCTTTCATAACTTTGAATACCAAATGATAATCCTTGCATTTGATATAGTGCCTTATCACGTCATTGAGGCGTCTGAAAGCGCTTCACAGAATATATTGTAAAGTGGATTGGCTGTGTATTTTGGGGTGAAACATCCATTACTTCTATTAGTTCCCCAGTTAACCTGCTCTGCTTCAGTGACTACAGCCCCTTTTTCACCATAATTATATCTCAACTCTAGAATCATGCCAGTGAATCTACACTTCACTGTCTCTGTGACTCTGACCTTTCTATAACAGGACACACAACACTCCGAACAAATCATCTCCTCATCATATCCGATGACCCTGTATTTAAAACCCACTTTCCATACCACTTTTACTGTGGTTGCTCAGGGTACATTTCCATACCATGCTCCTGTCCCCTAAATTGTAATCTAGATTTAACTTAATTTGCCACGTGTCTGCCCACTCCCTAACTTGTGTACATGCTTCTGTAACTCCAGCATTTCTCTGATGGTATCATCTGCAAATGTTCCCCAATGCCCAATTATTTCCGTATTCTAAGACTTTGAGAGATCCCCTAGGGCACGCCACTAGCTACATTTTGGTAATTTGAGAAACATCTATTTACTCCCAACTCTCAGAGCTTCCTGTCCTTCAGCCAACCCTCTAGCAATGCCACTATTCACCTTTAATACCATATCTGCACAGCAATTCTCAACCTATAAAAGGCTTCTTTAACAGATAAGACCTAATGATTCAAAACAGTGGTTGCCTGCAACCCATTGCTGCAGAAAAAGGAAAGAACTTCTAATGATAATAATTCTTCATTGAGATGTCAAGTGAATTGACTGTATTTTGTGGGCGAAACATGGCAGCCAATTGCACACAGCAGTGGCCCACAAACAGTCGTGGATTGAGTGACCACATTTTTTTTATAAGGGATTATTACTCCCGAAAAAGTAATCCGTCAATTGACTAACAACTGGGTTCCTACTTAATACTAGGTAAGCAGATGTGTGGAGTGAGGAGACTTGCCTGAGGTTTTGCCCTGCCTGGGAATCGAAACCTGGTCCTCTCACTTGCTAGGCCAGTGCTCTAACCAATATGCCTCAGGACTCCTTTGTAATATAATAGTGCCTATCGAACTGAAATGGTTAAAGCTTTTCAAAAATATTTTTTTTCAAGTGCAGAGACAGTTTTTGTAAGCAAACACGGCAGCCATTTTGTGCCATCAAAGAATCACAGCCGCCTGACTTTCAAACAAAGGACAAAAAAAATTGTCTTGTAAAATAGTTTGGCTTGTTTCCTCAACACATGCCCCGAAATCTATGTACGGTGACAGGAAGGTTTGTCTGTGTACAGATACAAGCAAGAAATACGGCCAACCTATAGGGATGCAAGAGAGAAAGTAAGTAGTTTCCTATTAGTAACTTTTCAACTGTTTGCATTAACTTTTAAGGTGGGTCATTACAGGACAGGTAAGATATGTGCATCTTCCATCAGGGTCAGGATGCAATACATCAATATCCTGATCTAGAAATACAAGAGAACAGCAACATTGTGTAACATTTAATAATAATAATCCTTGTATTTGATATAGCGCCTTTTCACGTTGTCGAGGCATCTCAAAGCGTTTCACAGGACATACTGTAAAGTGGTTTGGCTGTGTATTTTGTGGACGAAACGCAGCAGCCTGCTTGGGAACACAACCTTCTGACTCAGAGGCGAGAGTGCCACCACTGAGCCAGGCTGACTGACACACATGGGGGTATATGGTGCTTACCTCTAGCCAGTGCTTTGTAGGCTTACACTATCCAAACCGATTAACTAGAGCCTGGACCCGATCCTAACCCCACATCTCATTCCACATCTCGATTTCTCGGTGGGGGGATGGGGGATAACTTACATGCTAATGAACAGGAAAGATTACATGCCCACACACCACAAATCCATCTGAGATCAGTTAGCAATTAGACTGGCACCAGCACATGCATTATATATGAAACAAAGATAAATAAGTATTAAGTATGTATTTTGTTTAAAAATCATTTTAAAAATTCAGTGTATGGTTTGACAGACTTTTAGGTTAAGCGTGTAGCAAGTCAGCACGCAACCTTTTCTCCTGCCTTTCTGTCGCTGCATTAAATATAATAGTCTGTTTGAAGGGAATGTTTGAGGCACTGTTTAATTCAGTTTCCCTCAAATAATGTCAGTCTCCAGCTTGGGACCAGATTGCTCGAGGCTTCTTCGTTTCAGATTTTCCTGCAATATTTTGCCACCGGCAATGGGAAAATCACTGCCAAACCCAAGACAGTAGCCACAGCGTGGCCAGTCACGGAGTTCCTTATGTCTGGAATGCGCTCTCACTCCCTAGACTAACATACCCTGCTTACCTAATTCCAACAACAACAACAGAGTGTTAGGCAAATATCGGCAAAAGCCAAAGCTTGGGGGAGCGCATAGTATACCTTGGGGTACTGCGTGTGGACCAGCCTGGCCCAGGAACCAGAATTCTGACATTCCGTTAACAAGCACATCACCTTGGAGCCAGCAAAACTCCAAAGAGACACCACTTTACCTCTTCCTTCCCTCTTAATAATATAATAATAATAATAATCCTTGCATTTGATATAGCGCTTTTCACGTCGGGAGGACGTCCCAAAGCGCTTCACAGAATATACTGTAAAGTGAGTTGACTGTATATTTGTGGGCGAACGCGGCAGCCAATTGCGCACAGCAATGTCCCACAAACAGTCATAGATTGAAAATGACCAATTTAATTATTGTTTTGGGTTTTGGAGGGATTATTATTAGGCGTGTGGAGTAAGGAAACTTGCCCAAGGTTTCGCCCTCTGCCTGGAATTGAACTCAGGTCTCTCGCTTGCAAAGCGAGTGCTCTAACCACTGAGCTACACGACTCTTATCCCGGAGGAAAAGGAATGAGGTACAATCAGTAACCGTTGGAGTTGCTCAGGAATTGAGCTGCCAAGTACCCAACTACACGTTTCCTAATAAGCATATTATATTGCATGATTTGCACAAGCTTCTTAAAATAAGGTCTCATGTCTGTGCTTGCTTCAATTGTGATGATCCTGTAAGCGAGTTGCATTTTAGTGGAGGAGAAAAGACACGAAATGTAATGTCTGGAGTCCCATTTGTTCAATTTCCTCAGACAATATGGAAACAGAGAACATACATTTGAGATATTCACAAGAAATATAATAATAATCCTTGCATTTTGATATAGCGCTTTTCACGTCTTCTCGACGTCTCAAAGCGCTTCACAGAACAGACTGTAAATTGGTATTTGTGGGCGAAACACAGTAGCCAATTGCACACAGCAGTGTCCCACAAACAGTCGTGGATTGAAAATGAACAATTTATTATTGTTTTGTTTTTTGGAGGGATTAGTATTAGGCGTGTGGAGTAAGGAAACTTGCCCAAGGTTTCGCCCTGCCTGGAATTGAACCCAGGTGTCTCGCTTGCAAGGCGAGTGCTCTAACCACTGAGCTACAGGACTTTATATAAAGAGGTTAGAAAAACAGCATCTGCACAGAGGATGTGAGGAGAGTGGAATTTTCTGCCACAAAGCATTGTTGAGGTAGAGTCAACAATTGTGTTTAAAAAGGGAATTGGATAGATAGTAATAATAATCCTTGCATTTGATATAATGCCTGATCACGTCATTGAGACGTCTCAAAGCTCTTCACAGAATATATTGTGAAGTGGATGGACTATGTGTTTTATGGGTGAAACAAGGCAGCCAATTGTGCACAGCAGTATCCCACAAACAGTGTTGGATTGAGTTATGATTAGCCCCTGAAAGTGATCTGCAAATCGAATAAGAACCAGGTTCCTACTTACTGCAACAGAAATGTGTGGAGTAAGGAAACTCGCCTAATGTTTCACCCCGCCGGGGAATCAAACCTAGGTCGTTTCTCTTGCAAAACAAGCGCGTTAACCACTACGCTACTCCACATGAAAGTCTTTGGGGAGCAAGCATGAGAAATGGGATAGAATGGGTGGCCTCATGTGGAGAAAACACTAGCACATACTTGATGAATAGTCTGTTTCTGTGCTGAAACATTCATTGATTGCATGATACCATAGAGCCACAGGTTTACAATACAAATACCACTACCTGAAACACCCTCCATATCCACTCCAACCCTCACTATCAGTCCAGGGCACAACCAGATCTGACAGTGCGTTATTATTTAGGTCATTGTTGAGTTTTATTTCTCATCTTTTGTCTTTTCCGTTTCTCTGGTCTTCCCAGCAGTATCTCTGATGCAGAACAAACAGTGTTGCCCAGCTGGAGCTTTGTTTGCACAGATATTAATTCCTGTCTTATAACCTGAAATGTATTGATGACAGATGCCCTTTTTAGGGGGAGATTTATTTCTATCAAAATATTTACAGACAACTGCAGCGATGCCTGAGGCTTGGTGGTGTTTCAATCCATTACCAACAGCACCACCAAAAGGTCTCTGTGTTACTGCAGGATTCTTCCAATATAACAATCCTTGCATTTGATATAGCGCCTTATCACATTGCTGAGATGTCTCAAAGCGCTTCACAGAATATACTGTAAAGTGGATTGAAC